CTAAAGAGAGAATGAAAATATTGAACGTCACAATTAAACTGACAGTTTTAGGAATCTTCACAGCGGCAATTAACCCAGCGAGCCGCAAATTACGTAGCGGAACGGAAGCGCCTTTGCCGCTCATTGTAGAGGTTTCTGGTTAATGCTGCCGGTTGTATGAACAAGATCCTGTGATGATTTTCTACGCCAAACAGGCGTCATGGTCCAATTTTCCCAGTTTGAAGAAGTACTCAATTACAAATTACTCAGGTTGAATTAAATCGCATCGCAACATCAGCCCCTACTGGCAGACTATACCCTGTCTGGGAAGCACAGTGCCCTTCATCGCGATGGCCTTGCGCTGTAAGGATGGCGTACCGTGCTATAATCGGAGGTGCGGGAAATATAGAACGTACTGCAATGGTGCGGCGTGAAGGAGCGTGGTTAAAAAAAAAATTGCCGTCGTTGGGTAGGAAAAGCAGAGGCGGTGCCCGACGCTCCCCCCCCGGGGCAGCGCCTCAACCCCGGGGCCATGGGTGCAGCGGTTCTCGGAAACGTCCCGGCCGGTGGGGCCGGTGAGAGAGAAGCGGCCTGGCTTCTCAGGCCTCCCCACCCACCCACGCTCCGTCGCCCCCCGCCCCCCGCCGTGCGTGGCTGCACGGGGGGAGGTCGGTGGACGCGGCGGAGCTGCAATTGTTTTGCCAAATAATCGGCTGCCAAGGAGGGGGGGGGGGGTGGTGGAAGCAGCTCGCATTGTGCGCGCGGGCTCACGGTGCGCATATCCGATGGGCTTGTTTTGTGGTGACGGGGCGCGCCACTCCGGCGAGCACTCTTAGGTGGCATAGCCCCGCTGGCCGGGGGGGCGGGGGGGAAGAGATTTTCTTTGTTAAGTTGCACGAAATTGTTTTAGTCTTTCTGTCACTCGGCACAGTCCCGGAGGGAGAAGAAAAACAAACCTGTGCTTGGAGAACGAGTCCAACATCAACAAACTGAGGAACCAGAGAGCGAGCGAACGAGCGAACGAGCGAGAGAGAGAGAGAGAGAAAAACGATGTGGAAAGAGCACGCTTCGCAGATGGAGGCGAGAGCCTTTTTTTGCGGGAGTCCATCAGGATCGGAAAAACACACGACCATTTTGTTTTAGAGTTCACGCCACTGCCGGCTAGTGCCTGTTTCTTGGCGGGCGGCGGGGGGTCATGGGAGGTCGGCGGGCTCGGAGCGCCGCCACGGGTTTTTGTAAATATCGCGTGCGTGCAGATTTTACTGCCCAACCCGAGCTCCCGTCCCGCGCATTCCGCATTCTGCCTCGACTTTCGCAAACACGGCCGAGGGGGCAACGTTAGGGGAGCGCGCGCGCAGGCACTGAACTCCGGCCGACCAAACGCCATACTTCACATTTTTACGTTTCACGGTTTGCCCCCCCCCCCCCGATCGACGGAAGAAACAAAGCAAAAAAAGTCAAATTCCCAAGCTGGACTCCTCAACTCGCAGTGGCCTCCATCACGGCGCGGCGATAAATCTTGACCACCGCGTGTCGGCTGAGCGCGCGCGTGCCCTCGCTCGCCTGCGCGTACTCTCCCCCCCCCCCACCGGCCCCTCCCAGTGTCACCGAATCCGTGTTTACAATTTCCTCGCGATCACAACCCCCCCCCCCCAGCCCCCCCCGGGCACCCCTGTGGTAATGAAAGCCTGCTGTAACAGCCGGTGAGAGAGAGAGGGATGGGAGGGGGGCGGGTAGACATTTTGGCTGCCGTGTTCATATTTTGCCGTGGCTGCCCACGTTTTCACCACCGGGATAACGAGTCTCGAAATCGCAGGCGCCACTCCCTCACCGCGCGTCCAACGATCCGGCCAAAGTGTTCACACCGTGGCGACGCGCGGATTAATCATCGATCCGTAAAGCTCACGACACTCGAATTAAAATTGCGCGAGAAAGGCTCGTTGCTGGATGCAATTGGTTTACGTGGCCCCTGCAGCCACTAGTGGCAGATATATTCAGTGACGCTTTAAAAAAAAAGAAAATCTCAACCCTGGATCGCGACATTTCATCGAATTACCAGTGGAAGCTTGGCAAATCCTTAGGCCGATTACCGTTCGCGGGGTCTTTTTTTAACGTTACCAACCGTCAATTTTAACCGGTGCCAGTTGCATGATTCACATCTAGTAGAATTTCCCCGACTTTGTCAATGAAAATAGAGAAGTGAGCAGAGCAGCATAGTGGTTGGCGCAATTCGCTGTGAACCAAGTGACCTGAGTTTGATTCCCGGCTGTGGCTGTCATTGGTGAGCGGCGAGCGATGTCCCAACAGGTCCTGGCCTCGCCCTCCTTACTTCACCAAACCGCACTGACCATTGTGGTGAAGTATGGTGAAACAACACCTATGACCGACACAGCTTATGGGAAGTCTCTATCCAGTAGTGGATAAATTGTTATTTAAGCTGAGCAAAAGTTTAACTTAAGGCGTTTAATGTAAATGTAAAACTAGAGATGCTATTTATTTACATATAATGGCAAATTGCACATTGTAGCAGTAAATAATAATGGTTATTTAATCGCCCGTTAAAGCCTCGGTGGGTCTCAAGACTTCGTTTCAAGAGGGTCCTGCTAAACATTGGGATGTTGCGGCCAAATCCTCTCATGAATTGTTTGGCCGAGTGTGGACAGAAGCCGGAAAATTTTGAGAAAACCCAGCATGCGTACGAGCGAGTAGCGCTCAACACTGCCTTCTGCTGACCACGTCACAGCCCCAATGAACACAATAACTGCGCTTCTCCGGCGTGGCATCTCCGGCATAGCCTGCAGAGGCTGCTGGGGTTGGGGCAAGCGCTGTTAACGAGCGCCAGCCGGCCCGGCCGCCTTTGTCGCGGCAGACGTCACGTTCGCGCGCCTTCATTAGGCACTCATTTTCGGCTGTGTCAACCTAAGGGGGGAGGGGGGCGCCCAGGCCTGGTTCAATTAATCACCACTGATGATGATCATGGCCATGGCCAAGAATTGAATGCAGGCCACTGGGCTGGTAGCGCGTCGTGCTAACCACTGCGCTACCGTGCCCCCCCCACATAAACGCGCACGCAAGACGGTGGCGGCACTTTCTCCCTCTCTATGAAAGAGAAACAAACATGAATTGTAAATCAGCGATTTCCACCGAATGGCGATAACCCTACTCATACTAAAAATATATACGAAAAACGATTTTTTTGTTTCATCAGGTAGGGCCCACTGAGCTACGTAGCTCTTTTTGAGAAACGACCTGGCCGCAAATGATAGCTCAACAAAGTGGCTTATCATCATGTGGTAATTTATAGCAGCCAAATACTTTAAACGCATGTTTTTAAGTGTGGTGGGAAAACCCGGAAGACCCAGAGCAAAATCCACGCGACCAAGGGGAGAGAAAGACACGCAAACTCCAAATATACAGCAGGCGTCAGGGTCGGGATCGAACCCGTGACCTCCTGTATACCAGGCGAGGGAGTTAACATCTCCTAGCCACCATAGCGCCTAATAACAAAAGAGCCCTAGCCGGGGAGTCATCTGTATAGGCATCTATCTGGAACGCTCACTCACTCGTTAGCCAGCCCCCCCTGGACTATTGGACCCTGCTTGCTCGGTTGGTTGCTCGCTCGCGCACGGCGTAAACAGCCGACTGCTTCGGGTTCAACTCCAATTCCAGTGGGTGGGCAATCCGGTCCAGGTGGTCACTCGCGCAAGCAGTGTAAGCGTGGTTGGCAAGGGCCCCTCGCGTGAGGAATGAACCGCTGCCCCCCGTCCAATTCCCCCCCACCCCACCGCTCGCCATACCCTCCGTGCCTGGGCCCCTCTGGTGTTGATTAATCGACCAAGGATTGCAATTGACGCCTCTTCTCTGCGGTAGATTGAATCGGACTGCAATTTAAAATGGGGAAACCTACAAAACAACGCCCGGCGTTGACCCGGCTGATCCCCAAGCGAGGTCACCAAGCACCACCTGTTACCTCCCGCCCAGCGGCGCACGTGGGAACAGCCAACGACGCTTTTATTTTGGAACTCGTATTTGGTGAAATACAATTAGTTGAGTAATAAAATTGATAACTGGTAGATTAATAGATTACTTGCATGATCGGACAGCCCCGCTCTAACCGCGGGTCGCAGCGCGATCGTATTGAAAGGTCACACTCCAGCGACACCATAGGAGCGTGCTATTGGCGGCACTGCTGACGGTGACTTCAGACTATTTGTTTCTCGCTGGAGAAGGTTTAGGCTCATGGTCACACAGCCAGGGACACGCGGCTTGGATGTGCACGGAGCCCATAGCTGCTTGTCGCTATTTATGGGACACGTTATGACCATCCAACCACAAAAAAAACTACAAAACGCCTAACGCAATCAGGAAAATCTCACCAGACGCTGCTTAGAAATACCATTGTCTAGATTTGTTAAAAAATAATTGGGCGATACTCTCCCCCCCTCCTTCCCCGAATTGACTGTCCCCCAACCATCAATCAGAACGCGTCGGGTACATAGGCCTGGTGGACATTCGCGTACAGTTGTTTTGCGTCACCCAACGTTCTGCTACGGGCCTCCGTTCTTGTACACAGCAAAAATCTATCCAAAAAAAAATATTGTGCACCAGCGCGATCCCCGTGTGGACGTTGGCCACACATGCTCCTAACCGGTCTTGGATTGAAGGTCGGGACTCACGAGGCCCAATGCTTGAGGTGGAGGCCGAAGGCCACAAAAAGCCAAGACGAGGCCAAGGCCAGAAGCCCTTTTTAGGTCAAGGCACTGTCAAGGGCTGGCTGCCTCTCAGCCAACTCAGCAGCTTAGTTGGCTTAGAGGCAACGAAGGGAACAACGCTCCTATCTCTTACACCTTCGGCAGTGCTGTTTCTCACCGTCCGCTTGACGTTTTGGTCATCTGGGCCGGTGCTCAGTAATCGCCATTTTATATAAATATTTTAATTTTTGTTGTAGGGACGAGGGGGGGGGGGGTAGGCGAGGGGTTGGCGGTCAGTGTCGCGAGCGAGCGGTGGTGGCCGGCACGCACCTGATGGTGCCCGTGGGGGACGGCATGGGGCTCGCCCAGTCCGGCGACGGCTCAGGGATGTGCAGCTTGAGCGGGGAGATGCTGGCGGCCGCCGACATCGGGTGGAGGAACTGCCGCTGGGGTGGGGGGGAGTGGGCCCCCCTCAGGTCTGCGGGGGTGACACGCACCGGCACCAGCTCAGCCCACCGCCACAACGCGAGCCCGGCCGGCCGGTCGGCCGGCGTGCCTCGAGCCCGGCAAGCCCTCGGCAAGCAAAGGCGGACGAAAAGTGAAAAGGGGGGGCAGGGAAGGGAGTAAAGCGCCACAGGTGGGGATTTGGTTTCGGTTAGGGTGAGTGTTAGGGTTTGGGTGCGTGGTCTATGGTCTCGTTGGCTGGTTTGTTTGGACTAGTGTCTGGGTGGCCAATGTGCTTAGCGTCAGAGGCGAGGCCAGTGCTGTTGTACTGCCTGCTGGCTGGTCGGTTAGTTCGTAGGATTAGGGAAAAGGAAACTGCTGACGAAGGGATAAACCCAGGGCCTCCAAAATACAAAAAAAACTATAAACGAAACAAATATTTTTTTCATCAGATAAGCTGTACAAGCTCTTTTTCAGAAGCGACCTGGCCACAAATGATAGCTCAACCAAGTGGCTTATCGCGTGGAAAGTCCAAGCAGCCCAATACTCTAAACACACGTTTCTAAATTTGGAGGGAAAAACTGGAGGACCTAGAGAAAAATCCACGTGACCACGGGGAGAGAGAGAGAGACACGCAAATTCCAAATATACAGCAGGCGTCAGGGTCAGGATCGAACGCACGACCTCCTGTATACCAGGCGAGGTAGTTAACATCTCCTAGCCACAGCGGCGCCCCTAATCGGCTCCTACCGCTGTCGAGCGACGCCGCTGCCGCCGTCACTGCCGGCACCGACCCCGCCGGCGCCGCCACCATCACGGCCGGCATGGTGGAGGCGTCCGCCGAGTTCACGGTAGAGTCCGGCTGCTGGCCCCCTCCCGCCTCCAGCCTGGGCTCGGGCGAGCCACACAACGACGTGAACGTCAGCCGGATGTTGGTGCTCGGGAAACGCAAGATGCACCTGCGGTGGGGGAAGACGGTGCGGGTAGGGGGTGGACGGAGGGGGGGGGGGTGGCGGGCATGGGGGTGGGGGGCAGGTGGGGGGGGGGCGGCACGCAAAACGGGCGTCAGGAGTGAGCGGCGGGCCACTCGACGTCCGCACGTTTCGATTGCCGCTTGACGAGTCAGAGTCACGCCCCGTGAACAATTTCCACGTGGAGGCTAAAGCTGGGAAGATTCATTAAGTCAACCGATCGATAATTACTTGGACCGCTGCCTCCCGACGGCGGGGGAAAGCCCCCTTACAAGCCACGGCAGCGCGATTTCGGCTGACGATGCCAACGACGTCACCAAGCCTCCAGTCCAGCGGCACACGCGGAAACAGAAGCGACACTTTTATTTTTCCATAACGATATTCGCGTCTTGATTTAAAGCTTTCGTGACTGCAAGGATTCATCTTCTTTGGTTCTTTCGGTAAAGTCACGTAGAATGAGAATAAAATAATAAATTGATAAAATAAAATAACAAAATAATATTCTCACGACGTTTCGGCGACAACACAAGCGGCCTTCATCAGGTGAAGGGGACGAGACTGTCCAGCGCTGTCCTCCAGACAGTCTCGTCCCCTTCACCTGATGAAGGCCGCTTGTGTTGTGGCCGAAACGTCGTGAGAATATTATTTTATTTTATCCATTTATTATTTTATTCTCATTCTACGTGACTTTACCGAAAGAACCAAAGAAGATATTCGCGTCGTCCGATTATTCGGGTAATTCAACGAACGATAAGGATTACGTAAACTAATTGGGACAGCCCGGCTCTAAACCGCGGGGGTCACAATGTGATCGCTTTGAAAGGTCACAACCTGCAGTAACATCTTTGATAGCTTGCTATGGCGGCGACGTCAGATTGACCGTCTCTCGCTGGTTAAGGTGTAGACTCGTGTCAAACAGCCGGGGCGACACGTGGCCTTGGGTGTGCATCTACAAGATAAGAGCCCCGTTTAATGGGGCTGACAGCTGCTCAAGGCTATTTCTGGGACATGTTCACATCCATCCGAGCACACACCGCGGTATTTTTTTATTAAAGTGTCATCATAACAATAACATGAGGCCGTGCGATAATGTCAATAAACAAGGAGGGATAACAAATCAAAATATCGAATAAATCATACACGCGATGTCTCGTTTGAATTTTTTTGTTATTTAATCCAATTAAATGTCGCGCATGTTTTACGACGGAGTCAAGGCTCTCAACGGCACTGCCTGGGTCACCACCCTCCTCCTCCGCTCGGGTGCTCGCCTGGCAACGGCGGCAATTAAATGCGCCGAGAGCCAAATTAAAAGCGACATTGGACTCCGCGGCACATGCTGGATCGATGCGGCCCAAAGGGATAACCGGGTTATGCGCAACGCTGTGTAAACACAGCGGCGGGCGCCTGCCGCGCTGTTATGGCAAGGCACGCCACTGCTCCGTGCATGTGTGTGCGCAAACACGTGTGTCAGTGTGCACAAACACGTGTGTCAGTGTGCGTGCGTCAAGTGTGTGCGAGAGTGTGGGCAGTAGTGTAGCGGTTGGTGCACTGCGCTACGAACCTGGCGACCCGAGTTCGATTCCCACTCACGGCCAACACCCATAACGATTATCTGAACCGGTCCTGGGCCCCCCCTAGGTGGGCTCAGCCTCAAATGAGTAACTGGTGGGGTGTGTAAACATCGCCACTGGGGAGACAAAGGCGGCCGGGCGTGGGGTTGGCCATCCACCCCCCTCGTGTGCCATGCCGGCCTTCATAGGCGCTCGCTAACAGCACTTGCCCCAACATTCTGTTAAGGTTATACGGGGGATCTTTGCCAGTGTGTGTGTGTTAGTGAGCGTGTGACAGTGTGGGCGGTAGTGTCGCGGTTATCACGCTGCACGACAACCGTGGCGACCCAAGTTCGATTCCTGTTTGACGGCCAATACCAGTGATGAATATTTTAACTGGTCCTGGGCCTCACCGAGGTCGACTCAGCCTCAAATATTTCCTGGCGCAATGTGTAAATATCACCACGAGGCGGCTGGGCGTGGTGCTGGCCACCCACACCCTCGTGTGTCGTGCCGGCCTTCATTAGGTGCTCACTAAAAGCACTTTCCGCCCCAACAAGTCTGTTAAGGCTACACACGGGGATGTTTGTCTTGTACTGTGTGTATTGTGTGCACGTTACACACAACAACCATCAAGCTAACTGGAAAAAGCAAGACGTGGGAGTGAGTCTGTGCGTGCGTGCGAGTGTGTGTTTGTGTGCACGTGTGAGTGTGTGTGCGCAAGTCTGTGTTTGGCCAGATAGAGGGGGCTAAACGGGCATGACACGGGCTGGAGAGGAGATGGACTGCTGCGGTATGGGAAGATGTGGAGTTGAGTGGACTTGCCGAAGACTGGTAGTTGCCCTCGAACAACAATGGAGGGCAGAGGAGCAACGCTCAGAACAACGAGCTGAGCTAAAATGCGGTAAGTTGGCACAATAGGGGGCAAAGTTGGTGCCAGTTATCTCAGTCAGTCAACCCATGGCACCTGGGTCTGTCCCGTGACCTCCTGTCTGCGAGCCTCCGACACTTCACGTGGCCTCAAAAAGTGCACCTGGCCTGGCACAGGCGCCGTGGTGACGTCACCGTCACTTAGTGGCGAATGGCGGGTGTTGGGGTGTGCGGGTGTTGGGGTGTGTGGGCGCAGGCGCGCGGGAGCACGTACCGTGTGTAAGCCACAACCCACACACTTCATAATGCCAACTGTTATGCAACAAAATGAAAAAAAAAACATTGTGAGCACACATCCTGCATGGAACGCCACCTTGATTACACAACGCCAATTCGGAACAGACCGGTGGGGCTTCAATGCCGCTTACGCAAAGAAAGACGACCGACAGCGGGTTCTTTGATAACAATCATTCTCGTAGAATAATTCACGACGGCACTTCGTTCACCAGAACGGGTTGGTGAAGACGAGGTGGCATTGATGGAAAAGTGCTGTAGAACAACACATATTTATGCATTGTCGCACCTGCTACCCCCAGCCCCCCCCCCCCCGAAACCTGTTTGTGCATTGTGCTTACCCATCCGAGCACCATCCAGGCTCAACGCCTGCTTAGCTTCCGAGACACGACGGGGTCCCAGAAATAACTCGCCACCGATGTGAGCCGTGGTCGGGAATCAAACTCCACAGCACATTGATACCGCCTCCAGCACCGTTCGTTTAATTATGCAGCACAGAAATAGATTTCCGGCTTGATGACCGGAGAAGCAAATCAAAGTCCGAGAAACTCTTGGCTCCGTTTAAATTGGCGGCCTTTTTGTTCCGCTTCGCTCCTAGACACTTAAGTATCACCCTCTGTGAGGGCACGCCAGACAAACCGTGCGTTCATCTAACATCCGGTCGAGATTAATTCTCATCGAACGTTCTCGTTGAGAATTCTCACCGAATCATGTCTGGGCCGCTAGGAGACCAGGAGGTGGCACGTGACCAATATCCACAGCCATAGCGAGATGGCACGGTGGGACATGGTGCCAGATGCGGTAATATATTCCAGGTCACCGACACCGGTAGAGAACAAGGTGAACTCAAGCCCATATCAAGATGAATTACAGAATTTACAGCTCGGGGCTTGATGAGAAACATCCCAAAAGTGCCTGGCAAGACCCAAAAAATTGCTTGAAATATCCACAGCACCCTTATCTATCCATGAACTCACAACACAGCATGCCACATCTATGCACGGACTCACAACACAGCATCCCACATCTATGCACGGACTCACAACACAGCACCCGAATCTATCCGTGGACTCGCAACACAGCATGCCACATCTATGTACGGACTCACAACACAGCACCCACATCTATCCGTGGACTCACAACACAGCACCCACATCTATCCGTGGACTGACAACACAGCACCCACATCTATCCGTGGACTCACAACACACCGGGAGAGATCAAGGTGAACTCAAGCCCAGAACAAGTTGAATTACAGCATTTGCGGCTCAGGGCTTGATGAGAAAATTTGCTTGAAAATCCACAGCACTGGCTCAAAAATATTTTTTAAATCGTGACGTTCAGGTGGTTCATTGCAGTTACCGCGTCCCTCAGTTGAAAAAGTGGGCAAGTTTCTTAAATCCCCCTCCTCACCACCTCTGTCCACCCAGCAGTATGTATGGGAACGCTGCAGCTGGTCGATCGGCAGGTCGCGTGCGGTAGGGTAAAGTGTGGGTCCTCGCACTTCTTCCGAGAGGGCTGCTTAGCGAGTAAGAGGAGACCAAAAATGTCATCGACAGGAGCTCGGCGCACACGGGGGGCAGCTCTATACACGCGGAAGCGCTTCTTGCCCAGCAGTGTGGCGTGAACAAGAACGTTATCTTGGCTGCACCTCCATCTTATTCGAATTGTTTGATCATCAGTGCATCTCACATACACGCTCGCCATCATCTTACAGGACTCCCGAAAAGGGGTGTAGGTAGGTGCTAGTGGGGATTATGCAATTAGGTTTGTCGGAGTAGGAGGGGCACAGCTGGTGCATCTGCCAGGAGTCATCTCGGTCAGTCAACCCATGGTGCCTGGGTCTGTCCCGTGACCTCCTGTCGGGCGAGCCTTCGACGCTTCACGCGTCCTCAAAGTGCACCTGGCCTGGCACAGGTGCCGTTGTGATGTCACCGCCACTTGGTGGTGAATGGTGGGAATTAGTATTGGTATCCAATTAAAAACAGACACACACAAAAAATCAGACATCCAATTGACAATCAGGAAAATTTAATGGACTTGGGCAGGACCCATCCCTCGACAGGCTGATGGCGCATGGACAAGACTAGTGATTGAATGGCAGCTAATGCATGGAACAGATCCGAGAGGCCAATCACCGTGCAGATGGAGCGACAAGATGAGTTCACGTCCAGGAGTGAGACGGATGGCAGCTACGGACAATATCCCCAATCTGTATTTTAACTCGATTGTATTCGGTTCCTGAAGAAGCTCCCAGCGCATGCAGCGAAACGT